TCTCCCAAAGGAGGTAAACAGCTGGCCACGAAATGTGCTCCATTCCCATGGGCGGGGGACCAGTGTTGAAATTTCAAGTTAACCTCAAGCAAGATATTTTGTTTGCCTTGTTTTATTTGACATCTCTTTCTTTTGAGTGTTGTTAAACGAACTTTAAAATTAACTGAATACATTCTACTACCAAACTATTTATTGAATTACTAATTTATCATTATATAAAATGACCAAAAAAGATATATTGAATTGTGAAACAAATATAATTTTAATAAGTACACCCTACTTGCCACATATTCAATCATAATCAAATAGCGAGCACTGACAGAGGGGCGAGGAGGTGTCGTTGAATGTTCAAAGGTCCTGCGTTGAATTATTAACTTGCCTTGAAACTTGTAAGAGGCCATTTCTCTGCTCTATTTATCTGCTAAACTTGAATTATTGTCTTGCCTCCACGATTCCTTATTGTAGATGATGATTGACAACATATTGAAAATAAGACAAGGATACTGATGATGTTGTACAAGAAACAAGAAGATGATTTTCTAGAGACATGGTTGTGGTTGCAATTGAGGTGATATTTTATTTGGTTCAGTTAATTTTGTGGTTTTTTTGCAAGTAAGACTTTGGCATTTGAGGTATACTAGCTATTAGCTGAATGAAACACTTTGGCATTTGGTTCCTTTCACTTTGTGGTTGCGTGAGTAACTGACTATTGGTGGATATGTTTCTCTTTTTTCTTTCCAAAGGTTGTCGATTTTGTTTATTTACTTTGTGTGATAGAGTGTATTAGGGTGTACCAATGGTATTTTTGGTAGTTATGTAGGGTGTATTTAATTAATTTTATATTTTATATTAAAATATTAGGGTGTACTTAGATCATAGAGTGTACTCAGTTAATTTTAGGGTTCGTTTAACAATACTCTTTTGTTTTTTGTTTTATAATAAAAACGATTAATTAGAGAAGCAATGTGAAAAATCTAGACCAGGATCTGCTTATTTTTAACCTTCATAATCATTATTCTTCGTAATCATTATTCTTCGTATATATATTTAAAAAAATCATTATTCTGAATTATCCTATATAAAAAAGGCACTAGGTTTCTTCTTCCTTTTTTTTTCCTCACTTTTGAGTGTTATTATTTATTATATTTCTTTTGGAGCATTAACTAATAATTGATGTAAAATATTCATATAATATTATGAAAAGGAACTAAAATCCATCCAATATTCCTTAAACTGAAGTTGCCCTTATAGAAAAAGCCTTTTGTTTTTATTATTCGTGTAACCTTCTCTATTGTTGAAAAAAAAGAAGTGAACATTTGGATGTTCACTTCTCAATTATTGTTCCAGTGATCTTCCAAGAAGCCCCTTTTTTTGCTATCAAAATTCTCAGAATTCAGTCAAATGAACTAAAATAAAATCATGTAAATTTCTAAGAAGGCTCTCTATACTGACGTTTCAGGTTGTGGACGCAATGAAATGGACTAGTTTACAATCTTAATTTTAATACACCACAATATGTGTGGGAGATAAGAAGCTTGCAGAGCAGGAGGAAATGCACTTCCAAGTGTTCCAATATTAGTTGACGACACACATATGTTTTAATAATCAAATGTCACGCCTAATGGATTCAAGAATCTTACCTTATAGGGTTAGTGTAAAAGTTAAAAATAATAATTTAAAAAAAAACATTGAAAATGAAACGATAGTACTTTCATTCATAATTCATGTAAAAAACAACATTACAAACTATAATTGTCCACGATAAGGTTTTATATTTTAAAAACGTAGCATTATAGCTTCATTTCAATACAAGCAAAAACTTTCATCTAAATGTAAACAAGCAAACCTATCACTTAACCATTGATCTCCCATTTTGTTCCCAAGTGGACCTTAATAATATTTATGATGGAAAATGTCCTCTCAACTGAAGCAGTTGCAACCAGTAAAACTAAAGCCATTGTAATAAGAAAATACACATAATTGAATACTCGATGCATCATTGTCTCTTTTTTTTTTTTTTTTTTTTTTTTTTTTTTTTTTTACATTAAGCGAGAGAAACATAAAACAACCAACCAATATATATGATCACAAGCGAGAGAGATAAGAGTTACTGGGGAAGTAAGAGACTACTAATGGAGCTTCTGATGTTGACTTTGATTTGCATTTGGATTCCTTTGAAGCTTTAACTAGTCCAGCAGACCCTCCAGCATCATCGGAAACCCGTTGTGATGATAATGACGGCATGAAACAATTCGAAAAAGCAGAGTAGAAAGCCATTTATTAGTGTTGATAAAATTTACTCTCTGTTGTAACTCGTATGCCTAAAAGGAATTCCTCAGGTAGTTTTTCAGCTGAGGAAAGTAAAGCTGAGAGAGATTTGTAGAGGGCCAAAGATTAAAGATGAGATAACTGTTTAGTGGAATTTTGTTAACAACATCGAACTTGGAGGAGAAGTAATCAAGCAAGTTATCTGATGGTTGTGTCCATTTTCTTGGTGTTGTGGCTGTTTTTTGACTTCTCTGTATACGACCAAAAAGATTGTCACTTTCATCATGCCACGTTTTGTTGCCAGCAAAGATTACCCAGCCAATTAAGAAAACTGCAGCCATCAGAGCAAAAGCATATATATATATAGACTTTTATAACAAACATGCGCAGCATGGTTGCCCTTTCTTATTCATTTAATGGAAAATAATAATAAAGATAAACTGATAAAAATTGTAAGGCTAACGGGAGAGAGAGTGACAGGGCGAGAAAGCTTGCAAATCACGGAAGACAATTCACTATCACGTTGGTTGGCCCAGTCTAAAGTCTTTCGTCAGTCATCCTCTAATTTCCTTTGGACGAAACAGATAAGTTCAAACCCAACAGGTAGACATGAGAATATTTTACACGACAGGTTTACATGACACAAATTTACACAAAAAAATTAGTATTTAAGTCGGAGCTTAATGCGCCGTGTTAAAAATAATAGATCCTTTAGACACCAATTAAGTTAACACAAATCGTATCATGTGAATTCACAAATACCTGTTACCACCCATTAAAAATATGGGTAGTTTTATAATTTTATATATCCTTTTTTTTTTCTCCTTCTTTATTCTCATCCTTCTCTTCTCCCCCAACTCTTCTCTTGTTGTTGTTTTTTTTATTTATATAATTTGTTAAAGAGATTTTTTTTATAATTATTTATTTAATATAATTTTATTTATTTTTTTGTAATATTTGAAACCATAAATAATTTTTATTACTTTTTTGTCCATGTGAAAGTCCATGTCATTAAAAATGGATCTCACTCTTGATACTTCATCATTTAACAGATTCACTAACCCTCCGTTTGGATGAGGGAAAATAACTCAAAATTTAGGTAAAAGTCGGGAATTGAAGAAGAGAAATTGACAATTCCCTTATTTGGCAACCTAAACGCGGAACTTATTTATTCCTATACTTTTGTTTGCAACTTTTTAATCAAAGCCCTTTCAGTTTCTCTGCTCATTGGTCTTTTGCCAAGTGAAAACGAAGTATCAGGGTCTTGATTGTTGATTGCTTCTAGTTCTAATTCCATAGGTACCAGAGAAGTATCAGGGTATTGATTGCTTCTAGTTCTAATTCCATAGGCACTCCCAATTGAGAAAAAAAAAGAGTATGTTGCTGATGTTCATTGCACGTCGGGAGTGATTTGGTTTGGTAATATGCTTTGTTTGTTTAAGTTGAGTTATTTAGTTCATCAAACGATATGTTATTTCATATTTCGAGGAATACCTTCTATGTCAGTTATCAGTTTTTTTGTTCTTTCAAAATATTTAATTTCTGTCATTTACAAAATTCGACATACATAAATCCAAACATTGAAATCTTTAATTGCCAGAAATCTAAATTCCATCATTTAAAAATTCTATGTAATTTGCAATTCCTTCATCCAAACGGAGCATAAAGGTTTAAGTAACGGAGGGGGTTCTTTGTAAGTTTTTGACGAGTTTGAGTTTGTAATTGTAAATGTCCCCAAATAAATTTTTGTTTTTTTTCTTAACGGGACCTTGAATAAATTTCTTAAATTTTTTTTTTTAAACATGAAAAAGAAAACAAGATTGTAGGTAGTCTAATGTACTTATCAGCTACTAGGCCTGATATGATGTATGTTATTAGTCTCCTTAGTCGATTCATGGAAGCACCAATTGTACTTCACTTTCAAGCTGCAAAAAGGGTTCTTCATTATTTGAAAGGAACTACAGATTTTAGTGTTCTTTATAAAAGAGATAAAAGCAAGGGTTTAGTCAGCTATAGTGACAGTGATTTTTCTGGGGCTTTGGATGATAGAAAAGAGCACTTCAGGTCAAGTTTTCATGCTTAGTTCTGGGGCAATTTCATGGTCTTCAAAGAAGCAGTAGGTGGTCACTTTGTCCACAATTGAAGCTAAGTTTATTGTAGCTGCTTCTTGTGCATGTTAAGCTGTGTGGTTAAGAAGATTGCTTAGAGAATTGGGGTATGTTCAACAAAGTCCTACTTTGATTCATTGCGATAACATTTCTACTATCAAACTCTCAAGAAATCCGGTGTTACATGGAAAAAGTAAGCATATTGACATCAGGTTTCACTTTCTTCGTGATCTCATAAAAGAAGGTGTTGTTGAATTGATTCGTTGCCAGAGTCAGGATCGGATTGCAGATATATTAACAAAGCCTTTGAAGCTTGAGACATTTGAGAAGCTGTGTGGTGTCTCCTTAGTGTTTGTTCAAGTTCTGATGTAAACTGAATATTTGTATGGAGTTTAATTTAAGGGAAAGTGTTAGGATTTTTTAAGTATTTATGTTTTAGTTGAATTGGTCAAGTTAATTGTTAATAATCCCTAGTTGTTAGGGACGTGAGGTAGTGTTGTTTGTTATCCTAGTTTCTAGAGGAATCCCTTTAGTCTAGGGATATTAGACGTGGATTTTTTACTACTTAAGTTTCCGCATTTAGTTTCTTTGTAAGACTATATAAGCTCAGCTTTAGAGCTTCTATTAATAAGCTCGGCGCCTCCAGTTCGGCGCCTCCAGTTCGGCAGACGGGAATGGGTAGACCAGCTTGAACTCAGGGTCAGCAGTGGCTGTTGACGACGATGGGTCTGGGTCGGAGGAGGAGATGGTTTCCACAATGGTGCTCCTCAGTTGATTGGAGAAAGAGACATAGGTACAAAATGAATTTCCGTATCTTCAGAAAACGAAAACGTTGAAATTGAAAACAACATTTTATCGTTTTCATCTTTTGTTCACAAATGTTTTCAAAAAACATTTTGTGAGGGAAAACAAAAACGATCCACCAAACGTGTATTTGTCGTAAATCAGGAAACGAAAACATAAATTTTTGGCTCTAAAAACATTACCGAATGGGCCCTAAACATGTATGTGTCTACTCAACCATGCCCTTTTTATATTTTCAAATGGTGTGATCCTATCCTACCAACCTCTCTTTCTTTTTTTCTTTTTTTCTTTTTGTTGTTGGTAAGAATAATGTCTCGTCCCACGCCCAAAATCTGAGTTTGAATCTCGCCGATTTTAAAAATTTAAAAATAAAAAAAATAAAAAATAGAAAAGCTATATATCATCAACCAAAAACCCGTCAATCGAACTTCTCGTCAATTCAAGTTTATTCAACACCTAAAGAATGTCTACAAGCTTGGAAACTAGCTTTTATAGGTGAGCTCAAAACCCTAGCTGAGAATAGAAAGTAAAACAAAAATACGAAATCCCCAAATTTACAAACAAAAAAAAACTTGTGATCCTCGGGTATATATATAAGTATGGAGCATCTACAGTGAAGCGATATGATCATTATTTTCAGTCAGTCACAGAGCTAGCTTTCATTTCTTGAAAAGGAGAGCAAAACATATTAATCAATCGGTGCCAACAATATAAATTTTTCAATATTTTCCTCACAGTTACACAAGTCTTAAAGTTTTTTACATGAGATACTGGAATTTGGAGGCACAGCCATTTCGTGCCGAAATGGGCGGCCTGAAGTGTGATTCCACCTGTTTCCACTCCAGATATTTTTCAATCATCCTTTCTATTCTTGGTCGCTATAATTGCCAACGTTCTTCACTCATGGAGCTTCTTCTGAGCATGATTTTGATCACAAGCGAGAGAGATATAAAACAACCAATATATATGATCACAAGCGAGAGAGATAAGAGTTAGTGGGGAAGTAAGTGACTACTAATGGAGCTTCTGATGAAGACTTTGATTTGCATTTGGATTCCTTTGACGCTTTCACTCCAGAAGAGCCTCCAGCATCATCGGAAACCCGTTGTGATGACAACGAGGGCATGAAGCAATTCCAAAAAGCTGAGAAGAAAGCCATTAATCAGTCTATTCAAAAACTGGCTCTCTCTTGTATTGGAAAAAACAGCTCCTCAGGTAGTTTTTCAGCGGAGGAAAATAAAGCTGAGAGAGTTTTGTAGAGGGCCGAAGATTAAAGATGCGATAACTGTTTGTTTGATAAGAATCAAGTTGAGACGATACTTCATTTTTATAGTGGGATTTTGTTGACTACATCGAACTTGGAGAACAAGTAATCAAGCAAGTCATCAGATGGTTGTGTCCATTTTCTTGGTATTGTGGCTGCTTTGACTCCTTTGTATACGACCAAAAACATTGTAACTTCCATCATGCCACGTTTTGTTTCCATAAAGCAAAGATTACCCAGCTAACATGTTTAGCCACCCAGTCATTATTACAAATTTTAGTCTAGTTGACGCTGTTAGTTTCTTTGTTAAACGGTTGGGTTAATTGTGTTAAGAAGCTGCAGCCATCAGCTAAAGCATATATTGATTTTTTTTAAAGAGACATCGGCATGGTTAGTGCTCTTTCCTATTCTTTTGGTGAAAAGAAAAAAAAAAGATTAAAATTGTAAAGCCAACGGGAGAGAAAGTGACATAGCGAGAAAGCTTGCGAACCAAGGGAGGACAATACATGCACCTAATTAATCACTATCACGTTGGTTGGCCTAGTCTAAAGTCTTTGGTCAGTCAGTCTAATTTTCTTTTCATCATTTGGACGAAATCAATCAATTTAAACCCAACTGTAGAGAGATAGGAAGGAAGACATGCCCGCACATGCAGTATTAGTTTTGACCACACAATTAGCATGGCTTTTGATTATTTTCTTGAATAAGGTTCTTTTTTTAATAAGGTTGAGAAGCAGTTTATCAAACAAGTAATTGACCTACACTACTACAAAACAACCCTTGCGCGACCAAATTTTGCGGGACGAATAATTTTTCGTCGCGCAAAGACACTTTGCGCGACGAAACTCAAAACTTCGTCGCTAAAAACCTTGCGCGACCAACTTTTGCGCGACGAATTTTTTTTCGTCGCTCAAAGTCTTGCGCGACCAAATTTTGCGCGACGAAAAAAAATTCGTCGCTCAAAGTAACTTTGCGCAACGAAAAAAAATTCGTCGCTCTAAGTAACTTTGCGCGACGAAAAACAATTTGTCACGCAAAGATACTTTGCGCGACGAAACAATTAACTTCGTCTCGCAAAGTCCTTATAAAAATAAATAAAATATTTTTTAAAATATTTGTTAGAAAAATATATTATTGTTTTTTGGATTGGGTTTTTATTAGAAAATATATTTTTTAAATTGACGATCGAATTAGTTCATTGTATTCATATAGGGTCAAAGAGTGTAGCTATAAAAAAATCATCAAAATCGGAGTTAAAATAACCGTTAAATCGTGATTTTCATTTATAACCGTCGAAAAGTTTTGTCCAATTACTTGATCTCTGAATGTTTATTTCTTCCGATTTTTAGCGTATATGATCTCGAAGTATAAACAAACAAGTTTGACGGTTGGATCGTTCAAACTAGTTTCATAGAATGCGTATGCCATCAAAACAATATATTCACTAACAATTAAGTGTTTATTTATACTTTTGTTAAATATAACATAAGATTTGGTGGTATCCACTAGTGTAAATATTTTAAATTGAAGATCAAATTCAGTCATTGTATTCATATAGGGTAAAGGAGTGTAGCGGTAAAAAATCATCAAAATCGGAGTTAAAATAACCGTTGAATCATGATTTTTCATTTATAACCGTCGAAAAGTTTTGTCCCGTTACTTGATCTCTGAATGTTTATTTTTTGCGATTTTTGGCGTATATGATCTCGAAGTATAAACAAACAAGTTTGACGGTTGGATCGTTCAAACTAGTTTCATAGAATGTGTATGCCATCAAAACAATATATTCACTAACAATTAAGAGTTTATTTATACTTTTGTTAAATATAACATAAGATTTTGTGGTATCCACTAGTGTAAATATTTTAAATTGAAGATCAAATTCAGTCATTGTATTCATATAGGGTAAAGGAGTGTAGCGGTAAAAAATCATCAAAATCGGAGTTAAAATAACCGTTGAATCAAGATTTTTCATTTATAACCGTCGAAAAGTTTTGTCCCGTTACTTGATCTCTGAATGTTTATTTTTTGCGATTTTTGGCGTATATGATCTCGAAGTATAAACAAATAAGTTTGACGGTTGGATCGTTGAAACTTGTTTTTTTGAATGCGTATGCCATCAAAACAATATATTCACTAACAATTAAGAGTTTATTTATACTTTTGTTAAGTATAACATAAGATTTTGTGGTATCCACTAGTGTAAATATTTTAAATTGACGATCGAATTAGTTCATTGTATTCATATAAGGTCAAGGAGTGTAGCTGTAAAAAATCATCAAAATCGGAGTTAAAATAATCGTTAAATCGTGATTTTTCATTAAGAACCGTTGAAATTTTTTGTCCCGTTACTAGGTCTCCGAATGTTTGTTTTTTTACAATTTTTGGGGTATACGATCTTGAAGTATATACAAACAAGTTTGACGGTTGGATCGTTGAATGGTGTGTGTATATATATATATATATTTACTTATTAAGTAGCTTTAAATTTATTTATTTTGTACGTATAACACTTAAGAAATTGGTATATACATTTATTAAGTAGCTTTAACCTTATTTATATTTTAAATCGTAAAAAAAAATTTATTATTCATAACAATTATTTTTATAAATATCGTGCTATGAACCAATTTTTTGTCTCTCAAAAGTTTGCGCGACCAACAATTCGTCGCGCAAAACTTTAAAAATTTGGGTGAGTACCAAAAATGGGACGCGGGATGGAAAAAAAAATAAAATTTTAGACTTTGCGCGACCAATATATATTTTCGTCGCGCAAAAATTTGGCGGGTACCAAAAATGGGACGCGGGAATTTTTTTATTTAATTTTTTTAGACTTTGCGCGACCAATATGTATTTTTCGTCGCGCAAAAATTTCAAAATTTGGGCTGGTACCAAAAATGGGACGCGGGATTTTTTTTTTTTTTTTTTTATACTAATATTCGTCGCGCAAAACTTTGCGCGACCAATATATTTTTCGTCGCGCAAAGCTTTGCGCGACCAATACTCCAATATTTTTCGTCGCGCAAAGCTTTGCGCGACCAACAATGTCGTTCGTCGCGCAAAGTGATACGGTTTTTAAAATAAAAATAACTCCTCCATCATTTTCTCAATGTCTTTCTCTACTCTTTCCTCTCCTCTCTCTTTCCCTCTCCCCAAATCTCACCATTTCTCTCACTCTCACTCCTCTCACTTAATCTCTCATCATCTCTCTCTTCACTATCTCTTACTCTCACTCACTCTCTCATCTCTCTTTTCACTATCTCTCACTCTCACTCACTCTCTCATCTCTCTATCACTATCTTCTCTAATTCTCTCACACTCATTTCTCTCTCTCATTCTCACTCACTCTCAATCTTGCCAAAAGGTAGATTCTCTCCAAATTTTAATTTTTTTTTCATTAATATGTGTTTTTGGAGTTAGTTTTGAGTTTGTGTGGGGTTTGGGGTTGAGTAAAGGGGAGGGATTGGAGTTTGGGTTGGATTTGTGGTATAACAATTTTAGGGGAGATTATCCCTTTTTTTATTTATTGTACTTTGTTAATTTATGTGTACATTTTGAATATTATATATATATTTATTGGATAATTTGATCACTATTTTTCATATGTAATTTTATTTTGAATATGTCAATTTAAATTAAAGTAATTAAATTAAATTTAAAAAGTAAAAATTTGAATAAATTAATATAATTAAATTAATATCAATTTAAATTAAAGTAACGAAAAAAATCATACAATTAAATTTAATTTAAAAATTAAAAATTCGAAATAATTAATATAATTAAATTAATATTAAAGAAATAATAAAACAAAAAGTCAAAAACCAAAATATATTCGTCGCGCAAAACTCTAAAAATTTGGGCGGGTACTAAAAATGGGACGAGGGAATTTTTTTTTAAAAAAAATTTTAAAATTTTTTCGTCGCGCAAAGTTTTGCGCGACCAATATTTTTCGTCGCGCAAAGTGGCTTTGCGGGACAAATATTTTTTCGTCGCGCAAAGTCGCTTTGCGCGACCAATATTTTTTCGTCGCGCAAAGTCTCTTTGCGCGACGAATGAAAAAATTTCGTCGCGCAAAGTCTTTCTCCACGATCTTTGCGCGACGGAATCTGCGCGACGAAGTTTCTGTCGCGCTAAAATTTGTGCGACTATAATGTATTTTGCGCGACGAAATTTTCTTCGTCGCACAAAGTGAAAAATGTAGTAGTGCTACTAAACCCTAACAATGCTTAAGAATAGGGTTCTAGTTAATAGGAGTTATGGTTTAAGACATTTTATTATTCTTAAGGAGTTGAATTTCGATTACTGATTACTTCTAAACCCCGTAAGACCTAAAATAACGTTCCCCTTTATGACATGCTTATTTATCCGGAATCGGAATCAAAATAAGGAGTTGAATTTCGATTACGGATTACTCATGTGTTTATTAACCACATGAGAATGGAAACACAAGTAGGGCCCACACAATATCATCATGAAATTAGACTCTTGTGTTGGAAGGGGTATTCTAATTGTTGGAGAAACAATCCATTGGGAGTTACCCTTATACCCTTAAACTATTTCTAAAATTTGGAGTTTGACCATATACTAACCCAATAAAAATATTATTAACATAGGGAGCTGATTTTCTCACTCCCACACACTATACAGATGTTAGGACTCGAACCTCGAACCTCGAACCTTTCCTAGGGGGAGCAATTACTCCAAACCACTACACTAGTGGGTCCTTTGCTTTTCTTTATATTTAATTTTCCTACTTGTACTCCTTTTTCAATATTTTTTTTTCCTTTCTTCAAGTAAGAAATAATTAACACTGTATATAGCACAATCAATACCTGATTTCTGTTTCTCCAGACAACGGAGAAAGTGATGAAGATGAGAAAATTCAGGTCAAGAAATGCCTAGGTAGCTACATGTGGTATCATGAGATGAGATCTTAAAAGTTTATACAACATTAGCTTGCAGGAACCATTTAATAAAGTATATAGCCTAGGTGTCTATTCGACCATGTCTTCAAATGTTGTGGTTCCTACATATACCAGTCTCTCATGCCTCTTTCTTCTTTTGTTTTTGCTCTTTTTTTTTGGGGGGTTGGTTCCCCACACCCAATATCAGAGTTTGAATCTCTCCTCCTTATTTGGAATAGCTTTTGTAAGGAAAGAAAAAACTATTTACCCTTAATAATTAAACTCCAAACTACTCTTTAATTCAATTCATACTCTCCCAATTACGGATTACATACTATTAGTCCTTTGATTCGCTAGAGTGAGAATAATCAATAATATATAGGCTATATGCCTTACTTAGAGTATCTCCAAATGAGATGTCAAATTACCACGTGGACATGAAATGACAAAAAATAAAAGTTAAAGTTACTCCAACTGAAAAGTCAAATCCTACGTGGATTTGAAGGCTGGAAGAGATATGTCAAAAATAACATATCCAAAAGCTTGACTCAAATTTTTTTAAAATATTTTTTTAATTATGGATCCCACTATCACTTACTCTATTTTAAAACCATAGGCATCATGAGGCCCATTTTTTAAAAAAATATAATAAAATAATATGATAGTTGGCATTTCAGGTGGAGTTCATTTTTTTACTATGTGTCAGATTGCCACATAACCATCAAATTCAAATTTAACATTTTGTATTTGACATCTCCCTTGGAGATGGATTCCTATGATACACACCAAGTTGATAAAATAAAAATAAAAATAAAAGAGAGAAATTTATCCTTCAACTTAGTCAACATGTAAAAAATGTTTACACTAACACTACTACATTTTACAATTTGCGCGACGAAGAGAATTTTGTAGCGCAAGGTACATTTTAGTCGCACAAATTTCAGCGCGACAGAAACTTCGTCGAGCTTAATCCGTCGCGCAAAGATCGTGAAGAAAGACTTCGCGCGACCAAGTTTTTTCATTGGTTGCACAAAGTCACTTTGCGCGACGAAAAAATATTGGTCGTGCAAAGTTTTGCGCGACGAAAAATAATGGTCGCACAAAGTTTTGCGCGACGAAAAATAAAAGTCTTAAAAAAATTAAATAAAAAAAAAATTACCACATATCAGTTTTGGTACCCGCCCAAATTTTTAGAGTTTTGAGCGACGAATATTAATTTTTTCTTATTATTTCTTAAATATTAATTTCATTATATTAAATTTTTTGAATTTTGAATTTTTAAATTTAATTTAATTGTATGATTTTTTTAAATTACTTTAATTTAAATTGATATTAATTTAATTATATTAATTTATTCAAATTTTTACTTTTTAAATTTAATTTAATTGCATAATTTTTTTTAATTACTTTAATTTAAATTGACATATTCAAAATATAATTACATATGAAAAATAGTGATCAAATTATCCAATAAATATATATATATATATATAATATTCAAAATGTACACATAAATTAACAAAGTACAATAATAAAATCCTAATACAAGCCTATTGTGGTGGTAGTGCCGGATGATATGTTTTGATAGCTTCTTAATCCTCAACTTTAGCCGTCAAAGTCTCTATAATTCCCTACAAAAAAAAAATATGGTCAAATAACAAAAAAAAAATTTAAAAAAATTGGCATTATCTCCCCTAAAATTGTTATACCACAAATCCCACCCAAACTCCAATCCTTACCCTATACTCAACCCCAAACCCCACACAAACTCAAAACTAACTCCAAAAACACATATTAATGAAAAAAAATTTAAAATTTGGAGAGAATATACATTTTGGCAAGATTGAGAGTGAGTGAGAATGAGAGGGAGAAGTAAGTGTGAGAGAATTAGAGAAGATAGTGAGAGAGAGAGATGAGAGAGTGAGTGAGAGTGAGAGATAGTGAAAAGAGAGATGAGAGATTAAGTGAGATGAGTGAGTGTGAGAGAAAGGGTGGGATTTGGAGAGAGGGAAAGAGAGAGGAGAGGTAAGAGTAGAGAAAGACATTGAGAAAATGGTGGAGGAGTTATTTTGGTTTTAAAAACTGTATCACTTTGCGCGACGAAAAATATTGTTGGTCGCGCAAAGTTTTGTGAGACAAAAAATATTGGAATATTGGTCGTGCAAAGTTTTGTGCGACGAAAAATATTGGTCGCGCAAAGTCTAAAAAAAATTATTATTTTTTTAAAAAATTTCCCGCGTCTCATTTTTGGTACCCGCCCAAATTTTTAAATTTTTGCTTGACGAAAACTACATATTGGTCGTGTAAAGTCTAAAAAAATTCCCGCGTCCCATTTTTGGTACCCGCCCAAATTTTTACGCAACAAAAAATATATATTGGTCGTGCAAAGTTTTGAGCGACAAAAAATATTGGTCGCGCAAAGTTTTTATTTTTTATTTATAAATCTAGCATCCCATTTTTGGTACCTGCCCAAATTTTTAGATTTTTGCGCAACGAACTGTTGGTCGCGCAAACTTTTGAGAGACAAAAAATTGGTTCGTAGTAAAATATTTATAAAAATAATTGTTATGAATAATAAAAAAGAAAATAATTTTATTTTACAATTTAAAATATAAATAAGGTTAAAGCTACTTAATAAATATATATACTATTCAATTTCTTAAGTGTTATACATACAAAATAAATAAATTTAAAGCTACTTAATAAATATATATATATATATATATATACACACACCATTCAACGATCCAACCGTCAGACTTGTTTGTATATACTTCAAGATCGTATACCCCAAAATTCACAAAAAACAAACATTCAGAGATTTAGTAACGGGACAAAACTTTTCGATGGTTATAAATGAAAAATCACGATTTAACCGTTATTTTAACTCCGATTTTGATGATTTTTTTACAGCTACACTCCTTGACCCTATATGAATACAATGACTGAATTTGATCTTCAATTTAAAATATTTACACTAGTGGATACCACAAAATCTTATGTTATATTTAACGAAAGTATAAATAAACTCTTAATTGTTAGTGAATATATTGTTTTGATGGCATACGCATTCAACGAAACTAGTTTCAATGATCCAACCGTCAAACTTGTTTGTTTATACTTCGAGATCATATACGCCAAAAATCGGAAAAAAATAAACATTCAGAGATCAAGTAATTGAACAAAAAATTTCAACGGTTATAAATGAAAAATCACAATTTAACGGTTATGTTAATTCCGATTTTGATGATTTTTTATAGCTACACTCCTTGACCATATATGAATACAACGAACTAATTCGATCATCAATTTAAAATATATATTTTCTAACAAAAGCCCAATCTGAACTACAATAATATATTTTTCTAACAAAATTTCGATGCGAACTAAAATAATAAATTTAAAGCTACTTAATGCATACAAAATAAAAAACAAAAATAAATTGGTTTAGGCAACGAAATATTTGGATTACGTCATGCAAAGAATTAAAAAAATAATTTTTTTTATTTATTTATTTTTGTAAAAACTTTGCGCGACGAAACACATTTCGTCGCTAAAGACTTTGTGCAATGAAGTTTATTGTTTCGTCGCACAAAGTCACTTTGTGCCACGAATTATTTTTTGTCACGCAAAGTTTGGTCGCACAAGACTTTGAGCGACGAAGTATTGTCGTCGCACAAAAGTTTGTCGCGCAAAGTTTGGTTGCGCAAGACTTTGAGCGACAAATTTTTTAGTTTGGTCGCGCAAGGGTTTTTTTTTACTAGTGTAAGCTTGCAGCTGAAAGTAGAAAAGTAAAGCAAAATTACGGAATCTCCCAAATTTACAAAAAAAAGAAAAAAAGAAAACAGAACTTGTGATCCTTGGGTATATGATGAAAGATATACTTTGGGTTCCTTACAACTAGGTCATGAATTCATAAGACTTATTATTTAGAAGTAGATGTAGCAGCGTGACTGGCCTTCTGCTAGAAATGGTTGGATGCTGTTCTAATTCTATCAACGAAATCTTTATTTCCAATTAATTATTTACTTGACTTTTGCTTGTTCAAGGTGGTTGGTTTGTGTTTAAAACTGTTAAATTCAGAGAGACAGGTCATCGGCTCACTATCAACAACACCGATATTGTCCCCAACTTAACCACCTACAAAGTCCAGTAGGTGTGAGGTTTTATCACAAAAGGCCTCGGTGATATTAGTAGTGGAATTATTCATTATATATTGTATTTTATTTAGTCAAGTTTCCGATGTGGGAGTCATATTCTTCAACAAAAACAATTGAAAGTACTGGTTCAAAATTAACTAGTTTAGTTTATTTATACTTCTCTTTTTATAAGAGGTTCTAAGTTTGAATTGTCGCTCCCAGTCACTAAAGGGAAACTACTCATTGAGAACCTAGAATCAAATTATCAACACCAAAACCCAGAATTTGAAGAATGAAAAGAAAAAAATATCAACTATATAACCCAATTGGCTTCTGTTGTGTATATCTGTTGGAGGAATGATCACAAAACTGAAAAATATGATGGAAATATAAAGTGAGGTAAAGAGTAAAACAGAGAATTATTCAAACTGATTTTTGTTAACTTCTTTGATACTACAGCAGCCTATAACATTGGCTATTTATAATTACATTTACACCTTTACATGATAATACACAACTCTTGAATTAATTCCAAGAGATGCAGATACAACTTTTGATATATAAAAGATACAACTTCTAATATAGTCAAGAGATACAACTCTTCATAAGAAACCTGCAAGAAAAGATACAACTAATCATTTTATTTTCTAAATTTAAACTGTAGACGATGCATTACTTTTAACAATATCCAGGCCAGCTCCTCAGCTATACAAAGTGTTGAAGCAACCATATTCAGACTTGCATGCATTGAGCAAAACAATCACAAGCGAGAGCGATAGGAATTATGGGGGAAGTAAGAAACTATAATGGGAGCTCTCGATGAAGACGAAGATGATTTTGATTTGCTTTTCTTGGATTCCTTTGAAGAAGGAGCTTTTGCACCACCGTTAGGCCCTCCTACATCATCTGAGACCTGTGAGTTTGACAACGGCATGAAGCAATTGAGAATGGGTGAGAAGATAGCCATTTGTTTGTAAGTATAAAAGGGTTGTGGAAAATAATTTTGTGTGGTTTGTTTAGACTTGAGCGGAGCAAAGCAGAAATGGATATGTGAGTTGCTATGTTGTCCAATATATCCAATATATTTATAATGAGATAGAAATGACACTCTGTCCATTAACTTGGAGGCCAAGCAACATTGGAAGACATCATCTGATATATCGATGGTTCTGTGCACTTTCATATAACAGACGTGGCCTCTTTGACCAGATATCATAATTAACAAAGGCGTGTTGAAAAATCTCAAAGTTAACAGTAAAGCAAGAAATTGTGTTTAGCTTATTTTATTTGTTTACCTTGACTAAATCAATAGACATATTTTTGTGTTTCTTAAATCTAAAAATAATTCATTCGAGAAGCAGTAAAAAAAAGTTCTAGACCAGGACCTGCTAATATTTAAAGAAAACTCTAGGAATTTCCAAGAAGGCTTTCTCAGCCGACGTTTCAGGTTTGAGGGCCTTTTTTTTTCTTTTTTTCTTTCAAAGTAAGAAATGAGAGGGAATTTTATCATACACTGCCAAGTTTGCAAATCAAAATCATTTTCTCTTAAATAGATATTTTAACAAACAAATGTAACGCTTTCAGATCTAAAATATCTGTTTAATAGAAAATGAATTTGAAAAGGAGTTTTATCACACACTACCAAATCTGCAAATCAAAATCATTTTCTATTAAACTAGACTCCGTTTATGTGTAGAATCTTAACTAATATTAGTTTACGACACAGATATTTTAACAATCAAATGTGGCGCTTTCAGGGGTGGCCCTGAGGGTGTGCAAGTGGTGCCACCGCACAGGGCCCCTGATTTTTTAGGGGCCCCGATGTGTAGAGTGCTGCTATTTTCACACACCTGTCCTATTTTTCAACCCACCTTATTTTAAAAAATTTTAAGACAAATTTATCCCTTTGTAAAACGACTTCTAAAACCCTAAAAATAAATTTTTTTCTTTTAACTCTCCATATTCTTTCCATCTTCCTGACCTCAACAAATTCAGCGAGCACTGATCTACCCATCCCAATCCTTTGAAAAGTAAAAAAAAAAATCATATCAAATTCTCAACTCCACCTTGAATATTGTGGCTGGGTTGGTGGGTGTTGATAATAGAGGCCAAATTGTCCTTTAATTTTATTCTATTTTAAAGATTTTTTAGTCTGATTAACCCACATGCGGGTCCTTAATATAACATCACTTCAATTAAAATGCATTGTAGTCTTGTTGGTCGTCTGTTGTTGTGGTGGTGGTGTCGCGGTCGTGAAGCCACCAGTACTGCTAAGGGGTTGATGAGAATATTAATATGGTAGGGTAAGGTCGTGATGTTGAAAACACATGTAGAAGATGAAGAAATTTTTTATTTTTTTTGGGTTAAAATTTTTATGTTTTTAACTTGGAGTTGATGGTGTTTGGTTGAATTAATAATTAAATGGTATTTTATGAATAATGGTGGGTGGAAAAGTAGGATTTTATTTTTTCAAATTTACATAGTGGGTGAGAAAATAGGACGGGTGGGCGGAAATAGCAGCACTTCATATGTATAACAAATGTTATATATATACAGAGTGAGCAAATTGTTGACACAAAGACGTTTCTAGTTGTGTTGGTTTGTAGGGCCTCAACTTCTATTCAGGGCTCGACTTCAAAACTTGCTTGTGTTAAAGGCTTGTCCGATGTCAACACCAACATTCAATATCCCATCTACTTTCATAATCACAAATTGAAATAATAAATACCCGATCACAAGGAATTAGTCAATGATTATGCGCAGATATTCATTTTCGCAAAAATAATGCATCCAACTAAGTCAACCAAAATATTTAATATCTGAATATGATCTATGATGACAAAGACTCATCGTCACAATCATGGTGATTATTCAAAAGGTGTAACATCTCTGACCCAATTTAATCGATTTAATTCAATTTAATTCTTTTGTGAAATTTCAATTTTGTCCTTGGGAATAGGGGTACTTTGGTCACTTTAAGAGAAAAAAAACATTCATTGTATGACATTACATAATGGTGTAAGTTTGTGTTAGCTTATGTGAGGCCCCAATTTAAGGTTCGCACAGAGCCTTTAAAATCTCAAGACCGGCACTGGGCGCTTTCAGGTATGATTTTTAAGTGCCACTTGGTTTCACATCTACTTGATTAGTGGGGTACGTGGCCATCTGTTTCTCTGTACAACGGAGAAAGTGATGAAGATGAGAAAATTGAGGTCAAGAGAGATGCCTCGTAGCTACATGTGATGAGATCATAAAATGTAAATAAATAAATAAATATATATATATATATATATATATATATATAGGCATCAATATTAGCTTGCAGACCAAGAAGAGCAGAGGGATCGGTTAATAAAGTATAGGGGCGAATTTAAACACTAATTAATTGACAATACTAAAAACTCTTCTAAACATATGCCAATAACAAAAAAGAGTTTGTTTTTTTTTTTTTTTTTTTTAAATTTAAAAAAATAGAAGAGTCTATCACATCTCAATGTCAGGGTATACCAAAGCCTCTTTAAGGACTTGGGGTCTTAGCTCCTTTTTGGGTTTTTATAAATTACTCACCAAGAGGAATTGTAGGTAGCTAGACTCGAACCTAAACCTTGATAACGAAGAGAACGATCCTTACCGACTCAACTAACCTTTGTCGGCTAGAAACGCGTTTTCTTTAGTTGCTTAGCAAAGTAGAAATGGACGGCCAATAACAAAATGTTTGAGATAATTGAATAGTGTGATAATAAATGCGTGACTTTGTTGATTGACCTGCAGGGCAAGATATATGAATTCAGGTTCTGTCCACTTTGACAAGTGCTTGACACTTGAGAGCGACAGATTATATAGGAAGGGAGACTGAAGTTGATGACCTTTATAAAAATGTGAATTCCTACAAGGCTCTCTCAGGTGACATGATGATATTCTGGGTTCAAAAGGTAATTAATGAGAGATGAGTTTGCATGCAGACCAAGGAAGAAGAAAGGCACTTATTTAACTGTTAACATCATGCATAAGATGCCTCTGCATGATACTGAACTGATGTGAGACCAATAGATTAGAGATGTGATTAAAGTTTCATTAGGCTTCATTTGATAATTAAACTTAAAGCTCATTTGGGAGTGATTTAGATAGACCAAAATTTATTTAAGTTGTTTTAAATAATTTAATGGAGAAGCACCTCCCCATAATTGCTTAAAATTACTTTTAAAGTAATTATATGGAGAATCAAATAATAAGAGCTTCTTCCCATAAGTGATTCTGCTCAATGAAAGTCGCAAAGTCAAAGCACAGCTGCCGCACACAAGGTTCTAATTTTTATTTTTTTTTTAAGTGAACCCCTTAATTCCCAAATTAGTTCACATTTCCCACTCCCTATCAAACTTTAACGATTATTATTCCTTCTGATGAATTCTTTTTATTCTTTTACTATTTTGTTCATGTAGATTATAATTAAGGAAAATTTTTCTTTTTCTTTCTTCTTCTGTAAAATCCTTTTCAATTTAATTAATTTTAAAAATAACCCTATAAAAAATTTTAATTTTTCTTTCTAGAATTTATAAAAATAGCATTTGTTTTGGATTTTTTTGAGAGAAGCAAAGATAGAGTCAATATGCGCAATGTAATATCATATTGGAATTCCGACCAAAAAAAAAATCTCATATTAGAATTAATTCTATTGTTTATACGATTTTCTAATAGTTGTCATATTAGATTCATATTATTTCTAATAGTTCTCGTTGAAAAAATATTTGATAACTTTTACACGTTGATCCATAGGGATTAAAATCTTGGATCCGCCACTGCATCCATCCATTCATGTTCATGTTCTTTTCCTCAAAATTAACTCGAGAAAAGAAACTTGCCGACAAATTATTGATGTGTTAAATTAAAAATTTATAAAATTCTAATTAAACAATCCGTAAGGATCCTTATTCAACTTCACATTTTCTTATTATCATTCTTCAACAAAGAGGAAACTGAAAAATTACGCTAAGAATTTGAGATATATTCTAACACAAACATCAAACCAGAATCTAAACAATACAAAATGAAGATGTTAAAATCATCAAACTCCGTCCAATTCCAGCTTCAAATCGCGCGCCCACACACACACACACACACATATATATATATATATATATATATCAACTGCTATTTCCATACACTAACTGTTTTGCGAATCTTCATTCCTTTCTTAGCGTCAGTGAGACAGAAGCTTCTTGCAACTCATGAGTATCTTGCAGGGCAGCTCCTCAGATTATATCAGAGAGTACGTTTCAGAGAAAGCGAGTAAGTAGCCTTCTTCGCTCGATCTCGGGTTCATTATTTAGTGACGCAATTAATTACAAGCGAGAGAGATATGAATTTTGGGGAAAGTAAGAAACCACTGTGGGAGCTCCCGATGATGATGATGAGGATGATTTTGATTTGCCTTTTTTGGAGTCCTTTGAAGAAGGCTCTTTGTTGCAGCTGCCTCCCGCATCATCAGAGACCTGATGTGACGATGAGCAAGGAAAGAAGCAATTGAGAAAACCTGAGAAAATGGCCATTCTTTTTTATTGAAAGGGTGAATGAATAGCAAAGAGAGACGAGAGCTAGGCTTGTGCTGGTAGCTGAGGCTACTTTCTTACAACAAGAAATGGATGGCTGGCCAACAAAGATAAGAGTTTGCTATAAGATTAAGGGGAAGGCTAGCATGGTCGTTGAGTATTTATAGTGGGATGGGATGGATACAAATGTGACGTTTCTTGATTAACTTGCAGGGCAAGAAGGATTTGAAGGTTCTGTCACACTAAGCTGCTTTAACCAGACAAAACAATCTATGGCGACAAACTATGTTGGAAAATGTGATTCAAAGTCATTAAATTAACAACTATGACAGCATAGAATTAAAAAAACTACGCTTCTGCCGACTATTAAACATGATTCAAAGTTAGAGATAAGTCAGTACCCCTCAAAGTTAACTCCACAGAATTTCACTAAAATTTCACTTATACTATATTATTATATTTTATTTTTTTTAAACCTAAAACTTCAACTTGGGATTATTTTCAACAATATTAAGACTATATATTTTTTTTTTTTTTTTTTTTTTTTTTTTTTAAATTGAATAATGCGATCTGCGATTTGTATTATTGTATCAACCAAAGTACAAAGCAACTATGTGCTGAATATTGGTAAATTTTATCCAGTGACCAAACACAGCAACATGTTGAATTGATCTGGAGAGAATCACACACAACCCCAAATAACCTGATCCAGCAATTAGAATCACATATACGCAGACCTACAATACAATTCCATCGTGCAATGGCAAAAACGGCAAATCCATATTGAAAGCCAAAAGCTAAAATAAAAATAAAAATTCTAAATAGAAAATAATCACACCAAACTCCTAAAGAGTTTATGGAAATTGTTTGAGAAGGAGTATGAAAATTTTGAAAGGGAATGTGAAAATTATTTTATGGAGTGTTGACCAAAGTTTAGGCATCAGTACCTAATGTTCCACTTTTTTTATATATAAAAAAAATTAAAAAAATTAAAAAAAATTTAAAAAAAACTAAAAAGCATTTTAGGCATCGGTTGGTATAATAAACGATGCTAAAGTGACATCAAAGGCAACGTCATAGAAAGCCAAATATTTGTGGTCCCTTTATAAAACCTAGTCTTGTTATTTATAAAATCAATGTCTAATATACTAACATCATCAGTTTTCAATATTGTCGATGCCTATGTGGTGTTGTCAAAAGTAAAATTTAATATAGTGGATTGTCTTATTATTCATGTAACCTTCTCTAATGCTGAGAAGGAAGAAAAAAAAACTGGATGTTTACTTCTCAATTATTGTTTCTGTGAACTTCCAGGAAGCCATATCGAACTTCTGTGACTCAGTCAAAAGAAAATCCGGAAGAATTGGCTCTATCAGCTGACGTTTGAGAGGACTATATACAATATATATGGAGCCCACGCAATGAAATGAAGTGTAGAATCTTATTCTTAATACACCAATATGTGTGTTGTTTGTGGGAGATAAGAAGCTTGCAGAGCAAGGAAGAATGCACTTCCAAGTTGACGACACTGATATTTTAAGAATCAAATGTCATGATTTCATTCAACTATGATTTTTAAACGCCACGTGGTCCACCTTTGCTCGATTAGTGGGTGGCCTCTCTCGACAACGGAGAAAGTGATGAAAATTAGAAAATTGAGGTTAATGGTCAAGAGATTCCTAGGTAGCTAGCTAGCCACATGTGGTGATATAAAGATGAGATTATAAAATGTCAATATATTTAGGCACCAATTGCTTGCAGAGCAAGAAGAGGGACTAGTTACTAAAGCATATATGCATGTGTCTATTCGACCATGATGTTCTTTTGTATATTTTCAAATGGTGTGGTTCCTACCAGCTTATCATGGTTTCCTCTTTCTTTTCTTTTTATCGTTTTGGTTTGGCCACAACACATTGTTGGTAAGAATATAGTTTTCCTATGCCCAAAACCAGAGTTCAAATTTTGCCATCGCATTTGGCATACCTTAATAGACGAAGAATAAATAAATATCCTCTCCGCATCAAAATTCCAAGCAATAATCACCCATATAAATAAGCAACTTACAACGAACTCAAGAAATTTATTTTTATAAGGGCGAAGAAACACACAGTTCAAAGGTAATTAATGAGAGATGAGCTTGTGGACCAAGGAAGAAATTAATAATCCACTTAGTTAACAACATGCACGAGTGAGATGAATTATAATTTAATTAAAATGGGTAAGGAACTATTCAACTTTACACATTTTCTTAATATTATACTTCTCCAAAGAGGAACTGAAAAATCACGCTAATAATTTGAAATATATTACATCAAATCAAACCCAGAAATCAAATAAACAATACAAAACAAAGAACAGAACCACCCAAGAACAGCAGACAGATTCAAATGAATATTCCAGTGGCAAATCATCATCCCACTTCTATTTCCTTCCATGCACTTGTTATATATTTTGTGAATTAATCATCATTCCTTTCTTAGCTTCAGTGAGCCACAGGCTTCTTAGTGGCTTCTTGACACAAGCGAGAGTAGCCTTCTTCGATCGGTTTCGTTAAATTAATTACCTCAAATTTCTTGCTTGAAGTGATACAATTAATTGCAATTTACAAGAGAGAAAGAGATGAATTGTGGGGGAAGTAAGGAACCACTATGGGAGCTCCTGATGACGACAACGATGATGATTTTGATTTGCCTTTTTTGGAGTCCTTTGAAGAAGGCTCTTTGTTGGAGCTGCCTCCTACTACATCATCAGAGACCTGCTGTGACGATGAGCAAGGAAAGAAGCAATTGAGAAAACCTGAGAAAATGGCCATTCTAACAGCAAAGTAGAAATGGATGGATGGGGCTGCAAAATGGTAGTAACAAAAATCAGAGAGGGAAATAGGATAAGATATGTATGTATGTGATTAAGTAGTGTGGTAGTTGAAAATTTATAGTGGGATAGAAATGTGACGTTTCTTCGATTATCTTGCAGGGAAAGCAAGATTTTGAAGGTTTATTAATTTGTCCACTTGTTACTGCTTACTAGGCTGCTAATCTATGACCATCGGCAAATTATATATGTTGAAACACGTCCAAATTAACATGAAAGCTACTCTTGTGCCAGCTAGAAACAGGATCCAAAGTCTCACATAACTTAGTACACCTTATCAACTGTGGTTAGAAACCAATTCCTTTCTCATCAAATGCGTGAACCTCCAAGAACCCAGTCAATCAAAAGAAAACATGTGATATGACTTTCCATTAAGGCGGTTTGGTTCATGGAAAATGAGATTTAGGGATTTCCTTGCACATGGGAATGTACGGGAGAAAGTGAAGCCATCCTCCCCATTTGGGTTTTGTTTTCCTTCTCATGGGAAAGTTTGGGAAAATAAGCTAATATTAAATACACATTTTTCATGATCATATTGTCCCCATTAACAATTTAGAATTACAATAGAGCATTAAATGCATTATTCTTTTATTTGATTTCATATGGGCATAATTGAAAAATTAAACAACTTTGTTTTACATTCCTACACAAACCAAACATGTGAAAGGAAATAAAGTGGTATTTATTGATTACTTTCTCAAGATCATCAAACATGGAAAAGGAATCTCTATTTCCCATCTCTTGAAAAATGATATGGAAAGTAATTTCCCTTCGAATCTGTTCCATGAACCAAACAGGGACTGAGGTCCTAATTCTGTTAGTTATTTATTATTTTGTTTTATTTTATTAAAATTCAAAACTTATTATTATTGTATATATTTAACAGTAATGATTATTTATTTTAAGAGTCATCTTTGTTGACCCAATAGATGTGACTTTATAAAAAGGTGTCTGGAGTCTTATAAAATTAGAACTCCTTATTCATAATAGAGTACGAACAATTCTCTGTTACTTTCATACTTCATATCTGAATTACACTCATCATTCTCCATCTCCTACAATTCTCTTTATCTATTTCCTGGGCAATCGATCAACACTTGGCATACCCGTCTGCAATTGGCGTGCATAACGGACCAAACATCCTATAAGGCTTTTGGTGTATTGATACAAACCTCAAAGTCCTTTTAGGATGTTTTGTGTAGTTATGCAGGCCAGCAATTGCAGACGGGTATGCCAAGTGTTGATCGATTGCCCAGGAAATAGATAAAGAGAATTGTAGGAGATGGAGAATGATGAGTGTAATTCAGATATGAAGTATGAAAGTAACAGAGAATTGTTCGTACTCTATTATGAATAAGGAGTTCTAATTTTATAAGACTCCAGACACCTTTTTATAAAGTCACATCTATTGGGTCAACAAAGATGACTCTTAAAATAAATAATCATTACTGTTAAATATATAACAATAATAATAAGTTTTGAATTTTAATAAAATAAAACAAAATAATAAATAACTAACAGAATTAGGACCTCAGTCCCTGTTTGGTTCATGGAACAGATTCGAAGGGAAATTACTTTCCATATCATTTTTCAAGAGATGGGAAATAGAGATTCCTTTTCCATGTTTGATGATCTTGAGAAAGTAATCAATAAATACCACTTATTTCCTTTCACATGTTTGGTTTGTGTAGGAATGTAAAACAAAGTTGTTTAATTTTTCAATTATGCCCATATGAAATCAAATAAAAGAATAATGCATTTAATGCTCTATTGTAATTCTAAATTGTTAATGGGGACAATATGATCATGAAAAATGTGTATTTAATATTAGTTATTTTCCCAAACTTTCCCATGAGAAGGAAAACAAAACCCAAATGGGGAGGATGGCTTCACTTTCTCCCGTACATTCCCATGTGCAAGGAAATCCCTAAATCTCATTTTCCATGAACCAAACCGCCTTAATGGAAAGTCATATCACATGTTTTCTTTTGATTGACTGGGTTCTTGGAGGTTCACGCATTTGATGAGAAAGGAATTGGTTTCTAACCACAGTTGATAAGGTGTACTAAGTTATGTGAGACTTTGGATCCTGTTTCTAGCTGGCACAAGAGTAGCTTTCATGTTAATTTGGACGTGTTTCAACATATATAATTTGCCGATGGTCATAGATTAGCAGCCTAGTAAGCAGTAACAAGTGGACAAATTAATAAACCTTCAAAATCTTGCTTTCCCTGCAAGATAATCGAAGAAACGTCACATTTCTATCCCACTATAAATTTTCAACTACCACACTACTTAATCACATACTACATATCTTATCCTATTTCCCTCTCTGATTTTTGTTACTACCATTTTGCAGCCCCATCCATCCATTTCTACTTTGCTGTTAGAATGGCCATTTTCTCAGGTTTTCTCAATTGCTTCTTTCCTTGCTCATCGTCACAGCAGGTCTCTGATGATGTAGTAGGAGGCAGCTCCAACAAAGAGCCTTCTTCAAAGGACTCCAAAAAAGGCAAATCAAAATCATCATCGTTGTCGTCATCAGGAGCTCCCATAGTGGTTCCTTACTTCCCCCACAATTCATCTCTTTCTCTCTTGTAAATTGCAATTAATTGTATCACTTCAAGCAAGAAATTTGAGGTAATTAATTTAACGAAACCGATCGAAGAAGGCTACTCTCGCTTGTGTCAAGAAGCCACTAAGAAGCCTGTGGCTCACTGAAGCTAAGAAAGGAATGATGATTAATTCACAAAATATATAACAAGTGCATGGAAGGAAATAGAAGTGGGATGATGATTTGCCACTGGAATATTCATTTGAATCTGTCTGCTGTTCTTGGGTGGTTCTGTTCTTTGTTTTGTATTGTTTATTTGATTTCTGGGTTTGATTTGATGTAATATATTTCAAATTATTAGCGTGATTTTTCAGTTCCTCTTTGGAGAAGTATAATATTAAGAAAATGTGTAAAGTTGAATAGTTCCTTACCCATTTTAATTAAATTATAATTCATCTCACTCGTGCATGTTGTTAACTAAGTGGATTATTAATTTCTTCCTTGGTCCACAAGCTCATCTCTCATTAATTACCTTTGAACTGTGTGTTTCTTCGCCCTTATAAAAATAAATTTCTTGAGTTCGTTGTAAGTTGCTTATTTATATGGGTGATTATTGCTTGGAATTTTTGATGCGGAGAGGATATTTATTATTCTTCGTCTATTAAGGTATGCCAAATGCGATGGCAAAATTTGAACTCTGGTTTTGGGCATAGGAAAACTATATTCTTACCAACAATGTGTTGTGGCCAAACCAAAACGATAAAAAGAAAAGAAAGAGGAAACCATGATAAGCTGGTAGGAACCACACCATTTGAAAATATACAAAAGAACATCATGGTCGAATAGACACATGCATATATGCTTAGTAACTAGTCCCTCTTCTTGCTCTGCAAGCAATTGGTGCCTAAATATATTGACATTTATAATCTCATCTTTATATCACCACATGTGGCTAGCTAGCTACCTAGGAATCTCTTGACCATTAACCTCAATTTTCTAATTTTCATCACTTTCTCCGTTGTCGAGAGAGGCCACCCACTAATCGAGCAAAGGTGGACCACGTGGCGTTTAAAAATCATAGTTGAATGAAATCATGACATTTGATTCTTAAAATATCAGTGTCGTCAACTTGGAAGTGCATTCTTCCTTGCTCTGCAAGCTTCTTATCTCCCACAAACAACACACATATTGGTGTATTAAGAATAAGATTCTACACTTCATTTCATTGCGTGGGCTCCATATATATTGTATATAGTCCTCTCAAACGTCAGCTGATAGAGCCAATTCTTCCGGATTTTCTTTTGACTGAGTCACAGAAGTTCGATATGGCTTCCTGGAAGTTCACAGAAACAATAATTGAGAAGTAAACATCCAGTTTTTTTTTCTTCCTTCTCAGCATTAGAGAAGGTTACATGAATAATAAGACAATCCACTATATTAAATTTTACTTTTGACAACACCACATAGGCATCGACAATATTGAAAACTGATGATGTTAGTATATTAGACATTGATTTTATAAATAACAAGACTAGGTTTTATAAAGGGACCACAAATATTTGGCTTTCTATGACGTTGCCTTTGATGTCACTTTAGCATCGTTTATTATACCAACCGATGCCTAAAATGCTTTTTAGTTTTTTTTAAATTTTTTTTAATTTTTTTTAATTTTTTTTATATATAAAAAAAGTGGAACATTAGGTACTGATGCCTAAACTTTGGTCAACACTCCATAAAATAATTTTCACATTCCCTTTCAAAATTTTTCATACTCCTTCTCAAACAATTTCCATAAACTCTTTAGGAGTTTGGTGTGATTATTTTCTATTTAGAATTTTTATTTTTATTTTAGCTTTTGGCTTTCAATATGGATTTGCCGTTTTTGCCATTGCACGATGGAATTGTATTGTAGGTCTGCGTATATGTGATTCTAATTGCTGGATCAGGTTATTTGGGGTTGTGTGTGATTCTCTCCAGATCAATTCAACATGTTGCTGTGTTTGGTCACTGGATAAAATTTACCAATATTCAGCACATAGTTGCTTTGTACTTTGGTTTGCTAATCAATAATATACAATCGCTATTTAAAAAAAAAAAAAAAAAAAAAAAAAAACATAATCATATATAGTATTGTTGAAAATTAATCCCAAGTTGAAGTTTTAGGTTTAAAAAAAATAAAATAATAATAATATAGTATAAGTGAAATTTTAGTGAAATTCTGTGGAGTTAACTTTGAGGGGTACTGACTTATCTCTAACTTTGAATCATGTTTAATAGTCGGCAGAAGCGTAGTTTTTTTTAATTCTATGCTGTCATAGTTGTTAATTTAATGACTTTGAATCACATTTTCCAACATAGTTTGTCGCCATAGATTGTTTTGTCTGGTTAAAGCAGCTTAGTGTGACAGAACCTTCAAATCCTTCTTGCCCTGCAAGTTAATCAAGAAACGTCACATTTGTATCCATCCCATCCCACTATAAATACTCAACGACCATGCTAGCCTTCCCCTTAATCTTATAGCAAACTCTTATCTTTGTTGGCCAGCCATCCATTTCTTTGTTGTAAGAAAGTAGCCTCAGCTACCAGCACAAGCCTAGCTCTCGTCTCTCTTTGCTATTCATTCACCCTTTCAATAAAAAAGAATGGCCATTTTCTCAGGTTTTCTCAATTGCTTCTTTCCTTGCTCATCGTCACATCAGGTCTCTGATGATGCGGGAGGCAGCTGCAACAAAGAGCCTTCTTCAAAGGACTCCAAAAAAGGCAAATCAAAATCATCCTCATCATCATCATCGGGAGCTCCCACAGTGGTTTCTTACTTTCCCCAAAATTCATATCTCTCTCGCTTGTAATTAATTGCGTCACTAAATAATGAACCCGAGATCGAGCGAAGAAGGCTACTTACTCGCTTTCTCTGAAACGTACTCTCTGATATAATCTGAGGAGCTGCCCTGCAAGATACTCATGAGTTGCAAGAAGCTTCTGTCTCACTGACGCTAAGAAAGGAATGAAGATTCGCAAAACAGTTAGTGTATGGAAATAGCAGTTGATATATATATATATATATATATATGTGTGTGTGTGTGTGTGTGGGCGCGCGATTTGAAGCTGGAATTGGACGGAGTTTGATGATTTTAACATCTTCATTTTGTATTGTTTAGATTCTGGTTTGATGTTTGTGTTAGAATATATCTCAAATTCTTAGCGTAATTTTTCAGTTTCCTCTTTGTTGAAGAATGATAATAAGAAAATGTGAAGTTGAATAAGGATCCTTACGGATTGTTTAATTAGAATTTTATAAATTTTTAATTTAACACATCAATAATTTGTCGGCAAGTTTCTTTTCTCGAGTTAATTTTGAGGAAAAGAACATGAACATGAATGGATGGATGCAGTGGCGGATCCAAGATTTTAATCCCTATGGATCAACGTGTAAAAGTTATCAAATATTTTTTCAACGAGAACTATTAGAAATAATATGAATCTAATATGACAACTATTAGAAAATCGTATAAACAATAGAATTAATTCTAATATGAGATTTTTTTTTTGGTCGGAATTCCAATATGATATTACATTGCGCATATTGACTCTATCTTTGCTTCTCAAATTTTATAAATTCTAGAAAGAAAAATTAAAATTTTTTATAGGGTTATTTTTAAAATTAATTAAATTGAAAAGGATTTTACAGAAGAAGAAAGAAAAAGAAAAATTTTCCTTAATTATAATCTACATGAACAAAATAGTAAAAGAATAAAAAAGAATTCATCAGAAGGAATAATAATCGTTAAAGTTTGATAGGGAGTGGGAAATGTGAACTAATTTGGGAATTAAGGGGTTCACTTAAAAAAAAAAATAAAAATTAGAACCTTGTGTGCGGCAGCTGTGCTTTGACTTTGCGACTTTCATTGAGCAGAATCACTTATGGGAAGAAGCTCTTATTATTTGATTCTCCATATAATTACTTTAAAAGTAATTTTAAGCAATTATGGGGAGGTGCTTCTCCATTAAATTATTTAAAACAACTTAAATAAATTTTGGTCTATCTAAATCACTCCCAAATGAGCTTTAAGTTTAATTATCAAATGAAGCCTAATGAAACTTTAATCACATCTCTAATCTATTGGTCTCACATCAGTTCAGTATCATGCAGAGGCATCTTATGCATGATGTTAACAGTTAAATAAGTGCCTTTCTTCTTCCTTGGTCTGCATGCAAACTCATCTCTCATTAATTACCTTTTGAACCCAGAATATCATCATGTCACCTGAGAGAGCCTTGTAGGAATTCACATTTTTATAAAGGTCATCAACTTCAGTCTCCCTTCCTATATAATCTGTCGCTCTCAAGTGTCAAGCACTTGTCAAAGTGGACAGAACCTGAATTCATATATCTTGCCCTGCAGGTCAATCAACAAAGTCACGCATTTATTATCACACTATTCAATTATCTCAAACATTTTGTTATTGGCCGTCCATTTCTACTTTGCTAAGCAACTAAAGAAAACGCGTTTCTAGCCGACAAAGGTTAGTTGAGTCGGTAAGGATCGTTCTCTTCGTTATCAAGGTTTAGGTTCGAGTCTAGCTACCTACAATTCCTCTTGGTGAGTAATTTATAAAAACCCAAAAAGGAGCTAAGACCCCAAGTCCTTAAAGAGGCTTTGGTATACCCTGACATTGAGATGTGATAGACTCTTCTACCTCTAATTTTTTTAAAAAAAAAAAAAAAAAAAAAACGCCTCTTTTTGTTATTGGCATATGTTTAGAAGAGTTTTTAGTATTGTCAATTAATTAGTGTTTAAATTCGCCCCTATACTTTATTAACCGATCCCTCTGCTCTTCTTGGTCTGCAAGCTAATATTGATGCCTATATATATATATATATATATATATATATATTTATTTATTTATTTACATTTTATGATCTCATCACATGTAGCTACGAGGCATCTCTCTTGACCTCAATTTTCTCATCTTCATCACTTTCTCCGTTGTACAGAGAAAC